TTGTTTCTTCAACTACATATGCGGTTATTTAAACAACTTATGCTCTTACTTAAACTACTTATGCTCTTACTTAAACTACTTATGTTGTTGCTTAAACTACTTATGCTGTTACTTAAACTACTTATGCTGTTACTTAAACTACTTACACTGTTACTTAAACTACTTATGATATTACTCAAACTACTTATGCTGTTACTTAAACTACATAAGCTGCCATACGAGATAATATTTTACATTCTTGCCCGGAAAAACTACATCGAGTTTACAAGAGAGAGAGAGATTGACACTGAACGTGTGCCCCATAGTCTGCTGTAAGGAACGTTACAGGCACCGGCACCCGTCTATATACCGACATGTTTCATTTGTATGGGGTTTGGGACTCTTAACTACAAAGGCTTCCTATAATACAGTTTATGTTAGTGCACGCGCGGGTAAGGTATTGATCATACTGTTCTACTGACCCTCAGACGGAGGCTTCTAATTAGCTGCAACGGTTATTGATACAGACGTCATTCACGAGATCACAAGCAAACGCATAAACGCATACCTAGGGCGTCAGCAGTAGATGTATATATGTGTATATACGTCTATTCATACTTCTAAGTAAATGAAGTATGATCAATAAGTTATATTCATATACATCGGGCCAGTAACCATACCAACCCATGGAAGACTTATCAAGTAGAGTGTCTTGATCGCTCCCTGACCCCATCCTAGTGAGAAGTACGGGTGCAAGACAAATGTACCGCCGAACTTTGTGCGTTGCGAGAAAAACAAATGAGAGAGGTTTGCACTGGACTCCGTCCGGATACCTTCACTCGAGATGCAGCTCAATGAAAGGGGTCGAACTATGAAGATCTGAATGATTTAGAATACATTTACGTTTATGATTTTACTTCCTATATATAACTATGATATACCTCACTCGAGATGCAACTCAAATAAAGGAGTCGAACTACGAAAATCTGAATGATCTAGAATACTTGTACGTTTATGTTTTTACTTCCTATATATAACTATGATATACCTCACTCGAGATGCAGCACAATTAAAGACGTCGAACTATACGTGAACAGCCGAAGACATCTGAATGATCTAGAATACGTTTACGTTTGTGTTTTTACTTCCTATATATAACTTATGATATACCTCACTCGAGATGCAGCTCAAATAAAGAGGTCGAACTATACGCGAACAGCCGAAGACATCTGAATGATCTAGAATACGTTTACGTTTATGTTTTCACTTCCTATATATAGCTATAATTTTGGCGACCTTCTCCTTGATCCACGGTGTTGTTTTGATGACCAGAGGTAATCGGATGGGTTCCAAGAGTTCGTTAAAGCCCGCAGCAACCACTGCACTCCCCATTTTCGGGTCTAAACTGTCCAGACTGACCAGTTTATCTACACCGACGGACGTGAGCAGCTCTGTGATCCAAGTTTTTAGATGGAAAATAAAGTTAAGGTACACTCAGAAGTGGTTCACTCTTTGTGCATGCGCATATACAATATGCTCATACATGTAGATCTAGGGCCATGTATGTATACCGGCGAACTGGCTGATGATGCAGTCTGTAGTATCTGCAGTGAGCAGTTTGGTTGTGTATGAACGATCGGGATATATGCTGGAGCTTTTTCTTGCATGCACACCACCTGCGTATAGTGAGGGCTGTAAACTCAATGCAAACAATCTGGTAATGTAATTATTGACGCTCTATAATTCTCTAACTATATATATATATATATATATATCCATTTTTATGTATGTATTTTTAAAATTTTAAGTTGTATATCCTGACATCCCCTATTTGTATTTGCTGTTGGAAATTGTTTTACTATTCCAGTATACAATATCCCTCAGCGAGCAAAAACCAAACACATTCCCAGTCCATTACAGCTTAGGCGAGTAATGGCACCGAAAAAATACATGTGTATTGCTCTGCAATGCATAATTCTACTTTTCACCGATTTGCATGTAGGTTTACTTTGATTAGATTACGTCGGTCATTGTATAT